CCTTTGCGAAATGAAGAAAAATACATTGCAGCTTTCCAAACCCATACCAATTATGGCTCCATTTGCATAACGTTACTCCAAAAATCCATCACTTTCAATTAAAACCAACAAACTCTCAGAAAATTAATTGAAAATAAAAATATAAAAAGCGTAAAAAAGAAGACAAACAAAAGAGGAGATTGGCCTGAGGATGAAGCAATTCCACACCAAGCATAATCAGAATTATATAATTTTTTAAATAAATGTTTTCTTCTTTTTTGTTTTTGTTTTTGTTTTTTCTTTTTTGGGTTTGCTTTAAAAAAAAAAAAAAAAAAAAAAAAAAAAAAAAAAACTTTGGATGAAAAGAAACATGGAAGCCGTGGTCCCATCATTGACAATTCCAATCAGTATCAGCTGGCAGCTCAACAAGGCAGAGTAAAACAACGTGGGCATTTAAACCCATCTACGATTATGAGTTGGTTTTGTTTATTTATTTTACTTTTTTAATAAAGTTTTTTTTTTTTTTTTTTTTTTTTTTTTTTTTTTTTTTTTTTGCATTCTTGTTCTTGTCTCTGCAAACCTCCTACGTCATGTCTCTCTTCCCTTTGGGAGATTTTAACTATAAATCACGCATTTATTTCTCTGCATAGCCAGTTTTCGTCCGATAAAAACAACAAAAACACATGCACTTTTTCCAGCTTTCTTGGGGGATAAAATAACGAACTTTAATAGCTAGCAATATTAATAAAATAAATTAAAAAATAAAAAGCTTCCATCCGCTCACTCTTCGTCATGGCCAGCCTAGACATTGCCACTTGTCATGTGCACTTTCACACAAACTCATGTGCCTATGATTAACTTATGGTTTCCCTATATATATATATATATATTAAAGTGGTTAATACAAATGAGGCAAATTTGTAATAATTAGAGGGAGAAAAATTTGTATTTGTCAGCGGATCTCTTTCGCATCAATAGTTTACTTTGGTATGTTTTTAGCTTCGTTAATGACGATCATTTTAGGTGGAGAATTTGAGAAATTAATTCAACTATTTCATCAACTTCCATTGATTGTGTTAATATTATTGATTTAACAAGTCGTAAGTGCCACAATCTTGACTTGGACTTGTATTAGCTATGGAGACATAGCGAACTATATATGTGCGTTCAATTGTTATTACAAATGATTTGACGTGTTACTAAAAAAAATGTCAAATACCATATGATTAAACAAATCATCAAAAATAAAAACAATATTATAAATGGTTTCAGTTACACTCGGATATTTAGCTTTTAAAAAATCGTTCAGAAAATAAAGGGCCACCAAATTGGACAACTTTGAAACTATAATAGCGACATTGATCAACTAAACTCGATATTGTGTATACCTCATCAGCCCCTAGAAAATATAAAACTAAAAAAAAGATAAAAAAATTGTAACTTGGAGGCTAAAGGATCATACATGAAAATGGTTTTGTTATTTCATCATTCATGCATGAAAATAGAGACATGGTTCTGTTTTGGTTACATTTCCTTTTTTTTTTTTTTTTTTTTTTTTTTTTTTAGTTGTTGTAATAGTGCTTTGTTGTTCGCTTATAGTTGATGCACAAAATTGATATGATTTTCCTTATATTTTTTCTTTTTAATGGTGATTTTGGTCTTTAAACAAATAAGAGTGGTCCACTATAAGATGTTTTGTTAGGAATCATCTCATTTGAATAATGTAAGCAAGACCATGACGTACAGTTTCGTAAGCATATTCGCTATAGGCGGCTCAAACTTTTACCTATTATATATATACATGCAATTTTAGCCTTATCCTCCTCGGAATAATATTTTCTGTTGTTTAAGACTTAAGTACTTTTAAAACTCTACCAGAAATAAAAATTAAACTCTTTGACAATATGATTTAATTTGAGATTTCTTCCACAAAAAAATGGAGATATATATATATATATATATGTGCATGGATTACACTCAGTGCCAATCATATTTTTAATTATTAGAAAATGAAATATGTTTATCTTACGGCATCAGTAATCTTTAGGTTCCACTTTTTAGTACTTGAATAGTTTTTTCTTTTAGAACACTTAATAGTTTTTTTTTTTTCTTTCTCCGAATTAGAACACTTTATAGTTGTTTTGTTGTTTTGGAGAATTCCACCATTCATATACTTTTTTTTTTTGAGAATTCCCCTCTTTATATATATTTTTTCTTAGAATCCACTTCATCAATAAAAGGCAAAAGCTTAGCAACTACACTCGTGATCAACATAAGCGTACTTATGCTGACCACTATAAACTTTGGTATTTATTGTTTTATTTTGATTCTCATAATTTGATAGTTTCTAATCGAATTTCAATCTAAATATATATATTTTTTTGAGACTGACAATTTTTTAACCATCAACACAAACAAATTTCATTCTCTTTAAACTTTAATTTTCTAATCTTTTTCTTCTCTTTCTCGTAAATGTATAGGCCTTGTTTCTCATTTCTAAATATCAAACACGATATACTATTAAAAAAAAAGCGATCTGATATACAATTACGAAGAAATTCTTACATAAAAAGAGAAGAAACCTTATGATTTTTTTTAATGGAAATTTTTATGAAAACTTGGTCGTTCAAAAACAATCACAGCTTTCTCTTAAAATTCTTTTATAATTTATTCATTTATATAATGATAACTATATTTTTTATGAATATATAACTACGTGATTACTTTTGTGGTAAGGTAGGACTTCAAAAAAAGATAGGATAGCTTTTATAAAAGGGATTATAGATAAGCATCTCACAATCGACAATTTCCTTTGATTTTTCAAGGAATCATAAGTTGTGTAAAATAAAATAAAATCAAATGTTAATCTTTTCTCAACAACGTGTGGCGTGTGGCCCTCGCACTCAGCGTATAACATTTTTTTCCGGTTTTTTTTTAATAACTAGAAAAAAGAAAAAAGAATCTTTGCGTGTTTGTCTGCAAGTGTAACTAAAACCTCCAAAACGCCATTAAAAAAAATTATATATAAAAAAATTCCAAAAACGCTTATTTCATTTAAAAGAATAATTAAAAAAAAAATTAAAATTGTCAAACGCTCTTCGCCTAGTGTTCATAACGACCATTCCCTAAACAAACGGCGACGGAATAGAAAGCCGGCGAAAATGAGTCTCCTCCAGCCACTCCCTGAACGCCACGTGTGACGATAACACGAGATGTAAGAGGAGAAGAAGAGAACCATGTTTTTTTTTTTTTTTTTCAGTTATGTTTTTGGCTTTTGCCGCTTTTCTCTCTCGACACGCGTCGACACGACGCGCCAAGACGCCCACTTTGACACTTTACCCACTTTTAACCGTCAAACTCAAACTTCTTCCCTCCCACTCTTCTTCGCCTCCGGTTTTTAATATTTAAATACTTTTTTTTTGAGTTTTGACCCTCTCACCATATGGGGCCCACCACGTCTCACGGTCCCACCACTCCTTATCTCCGAACTTAACGCCGTTTACGATCTCGCCTCTCCACCACCCACGTTACGATCTTCAGGAATCAGGCCCCTCCCCACGACCGTCAACGTTATCTCTCACGAATATTCCCATCATCTTTGGTCACACTCGGATAATACTGACCAAAAAGCGACCAATAGGGACCTTCCCTTTTTCCACGTAGGACTCGGGACCTCTAGCTCCGTCCAACGTGGCGAGTGCTACACAGAAACAAGAGGGCCACAAGTTTCGTGGGTAAAATTTTTAAATAAATAAAACGAGAAATAGGGTAAAAAAAGGTGCGCAACATGCTGATCGGGACAACTGCTCGAATACAAATACGTCTGCATTCGGATTTTGGAATCGAAATGACGAATTTGACCCTCGTGGATCCTATTTGCGGAACCCAACCTTTTTCTTCTTCAGATCTGAGAAGGATCTTTGCCATCTCACAACAAGCAAAGCATATACATAACACATGTGCGAATAAAAAGAATAAAGAGTTTCTTTTTTTATATTTTTTTTTTATATTTCAGAGTATTAGATCTGTACGCACGTGACAATTACTCCAAACTGCTTCTAAAACTTTTCTACGTTGTGTACGGTAACTTCCGTTGTTCTGTGTTTCACTATTTATGACGTTTTTTTACCGCCCATTTTTTTCTTTTTAAAGATTTAAGATCAGTTTAATACTGTATTTTTTTTTTTTTTTTTAGAACGAGTTTAATACTGTATTTACTGCAGGTTTATATCTTAGTAGTTGTTAATAATATGGTATCTATAAAAGCCTTGCTCGGATTTAACAAGACAATTGTTTTCTTATGCTTTACCGTTCTTGTAATGCTAATTGATAAGTTACGGGTTTAGCTAGTTAGCCTAGTTTGTGTTCCGTTTTCTTTTGTTATAATTTTTTGCCGAGGGTTTAATAAAGGTGAAAATCGTCGTGTAAATAGGTCCGAGTTTGGTGAGTGGTTAAACTAAATATGCAAATTAGGGAGCATTTTTATTGTGATGCTATTTTTTCCCCCCTAAAAAAGAAATGTGAAACTTAATTTTCTGCCAATAAATACATTATTTTTTTGCAAAAATTTATTGATAACCAAACACCACCTATTCGGTTTTACGCCCATCTATCGCATAAGGTGAAAAAAAAGGCCTCATCCTTGTAAAAAGAAAGAAAAAAAAAATGGACTCTCCTTCATACAAAATTATATATATCGACGAAAATAAAAATAAAAATATAAAAAAATAACTCTCTTCGTGATTGAACGTTTTTCTCGATCGTATGGTCCACGTGTCAATATCTTAGGAAACTAAAAATATTGGTGGGTCACCCAAATGCGAAGAACCGGTCTATAGGTGGTTTAAGGGAACCTACTATAGCCGGTGAGCCCAATGCATTTACCGATAGGTCCGGTCGGAGGGGGTCAATGGTATAAGAGCTGGGGGTTTAAGCAAAGGTTGGGTAGTTATCAGAGGGTTTTGGCGATCAGAAAGAGAGAGAGAAAGAGATCGAGATTGAGTTTTTGAGAGAGAGAAGATCAGAGAAAATGGGTTTCGTTTGAACCAAAAAACTTATCTTTTTTTTCGGGAAAAAAATCATGGGATAGGAAAAACCGAGGGAAACTTGTGGTTTAATGACGGTAGGAAAATTCCTTATTCTCTGAATTTGTCCGACAATTTTACGATCATACATTCTCCTTAAACTTCTCAGAATTCCCGTTTTTCACCGTAAAGATTCGAGCTTTGAACGGAAACTGTTGCGTAAAGGTGAGCAGGTTTTATTTTCGTGGATTTTCCTTCACGGATTGTCGAAAAGCTTGCGTTTTGTTTTGGATTTTGCCGTTGTGACGATGCTCTTCCCCAAAATTATATTTGTTTCCCCAGAAATCGTGGCGAAGAGGAGAAAATGTGATTTTTGGACAAACTGTTACATCTCTCCAAATTCTTCTTCTTCTTCTTCTTCCTTCCTTCCTTTTTTGTTTTTTTTTTTTTTTTTTTTTTAATGAACTCGCAATTTCTGAACATAAATTGGACGAGTTTTTTTTTCATCGATTTTCTCCGTAATTTCATTGTTTATCTCGCCTTACGGATTGATTCGTATTTGGTTCAAAATTTAGATTTTTGGTTGGATTCGATCCGAGATTGGTCTCCAAATTATCTCTTATTTCCATTTCAAAAGTTTTAATTTTTTATGTTGAAAGAGATGATCTGTTCCCGATTTCCCTTCTGAATTCGCTTGAATTCTTCAGGTTTCAAGTTGATGAGGGTTTTAGATCTCTGAATTTTTCAGACTTTTGGATAAATCTTTTGAATCCATCTTTGTTCACTTTCACCCACTTTTTTTCTCCCTGATTTCTGTAATTATTACGTAGATCTAGTTCTTGTGATGTCTATGTAAATTAGGGTTTTTCGGTGGTTTAAGGATTTTTTTTCTGTTTTTCAGTTATTCCTGACTGTAAATGGAAATGTTGATATTCGCGTACTTTTTCCTGCGTCATGAGATTTTTTTTTTAATTTTATTATTTATTTTTTAGTGACTTTGGGTTGCTCTATTTTTGTTGTTTATGGTCAGATCATGTGGATCTGATGGAGTTATGGAGTTGAGTCTATGCTCCTTAGTTGCGGTGTTGGTTTGGCCAATTCTGGTTTCTGGGCTTTTGTACCTGGTAATTATGGTTGCACGGGACCCTGGAAATAGACTTCAAGGCCTGAAAATTAAATCAAATTTTGTTGTGTTGAAAATCATGAGACTCAAAATGAAAGATTTACGAATGTTTGAGATTGAATTTCAATTAAAATTTAAATTCTTCGCAATCAAAGGCAATGCCTTTTTGGATAGGGATGGTATATTACTCTGTTTCAATTAGTGTGTCATATGGTAAGCAATTTAGTCATATGAGGATTGGTTTATTTTTATTTTTTCTTGATGTTCTATGCTTCATAAATTTTGTTATAACAATGGAATTTGAGTTATTGTTATTATTCCTTTTTTTTTTTTTTTTTTCTAGATAAAGAATTCATGAGACTAATGAATCATGTTCTTCTGCTTTCAGGGTTTTTCCTTTTGGATTATACGATCATAACCGATTAGTGAGGACCATAATTTGAAGACAAGATTTTACCAGGAACTCTGGTTCTTTGCGTTTGGTGTAATGTGATGTGATGTTCGTTCATGATTACGGATATGGTGTTACAGAATAGGTTGGACTATGGATTTAATGGCTACCAAGTACCTGCTATGCCTCGAGCTACCAGATCAGCTCGGGTAATTACATTCTATTATTTAATATCACCTAATATTTAAATTTACTTTTGTTTTTGTCTTTGTTTATGAAATTAGTCATTCAGATCGTTTATTTTGTGTTGTGGTTTTCAGAGGAGGGGTACGGTTCAGAAGAGAGTTGCGGAAAATAAAATGTGTGCGTTTGACTTATTGGCGACTGTAGCTGGCAAGTTATTGCAGGAAGAGAGTTCTCCCACGTCGAGTAATACATCTAGTGCAAAAGATCAATGTTTGATTGTTAAGCAAGATGCGAAGGATGAAAGTAAGGCATTGAATGTGGAACCTTGTGACCAAGGAAGTTGTGACGGGAAGTTGTTTGTTTCGGAGCCTGTATTACAGGCTCATGATGAAAACAACTGCTCTAAGGAGTCTTCATTTCCTCAAAACGATGACCATTCAGTGTTGACTTCTATACTGCCAACTTCTAATTGCTCCGAGAGGTTAGTAACTAAAAATATTGGTGATGGAAATATTAAGAATGAAATAGGAAGCTTTTGTAGCCAAGTACAAGATGGCTCGTCTATGTACAGGGAGTCTGGTATCTGTAAATTAGATGGTGAAGCTAAGACACTTGTAAAAGATGAGTCAAACAATAATAGAGAAGTGCTAATTGGCACGGGGGCTGATACGGGCAGTTCAGAGGATCCGGTGGTCTCCCGGGGTAAACCTCCTGCATTGCTCAGTTCAGACAGTAGTGCCAAGGCACCTTTGTGTGTGGACCACGTGCCCGCAAACTCACTTCCCTCAACCAGGGATGATGTAAAAGTAGTTAGTAGAGATGATGACGAAAACTCCTCTGGGTGTACTCATCCAAGCATTAGATCCAAGCGCTTTAGACAAGCTCCACGGATTGGAGACAGAAGGATAAGGAAAATATTGGCTTCTAAACATTGGAAAGTAGGGCCGAAGTTTAAGGATGAGACACTTCCGAATCCTGGTGAGTGGTTTTTTATTATTGTCATAGTTTCAGTAGTTCGTTGTCATGTTCCAATTCCATTTCTTTTTCTAACTGTAAATACTTTGCTGATCTTTTCAGGTGAGATGATCAAACCAATTTACCGTAATCGGAAAGACTGTTACAAGCGCCAACGATCTCAAATGACTGTTCCTTTCAAGAAGAGGAAACTATTTGATCGTAGCTCAGTTTGGACCTCTGATGGAGGTATTAATGATGAGAGGTTTTTTAACTCACCTGAGAAGGGCATTGGTGATGCCTCTGAATCATGTGTGAAGTTGCAAGGAGGTCTTTCTCCAAAGTCCAAACCACATGCTCTTCTTAGCTGAATTTAGTAGCTTACTAGTGTTTTGACAACTTCTCTTTTAGTTTACTAATCCAAAATCATTATACAGGAAATGGGACGTGCTCAAGAGCTGGTCAAAACACATCATTCCAATGCAGGGATTCTCACGGTATGAGAACCTTTTAGGGAATGATTATTACGTACTCTTTTGACTTGATTGGTGTCTTGACATACAAAGAGGTCTTATACGAAGGTGCTTTTCCTTTTACTCAGTGAAACTAAGGATCAAGTCTTTTAGAGTGCCAGAGCTTTTTATTGAGATTCCAGAGACTGCAACTGTTGGTTCACTGAAGGTATACTGGAAATTTACTGTATTTTTTTAAAAACAGAAATCCTGCTGCTTTACTTAACTCCTTTGATTCTGCAATCTCCAATATTTGAGCTATACATGTGTTTATAGTATAGCCCCTGCAATTTGCTGTTAGTATGTAGTTCCTGCTCCTTACATGGTCGTTTAAGTTTCTCCGATTGTTTATAATTGTTCTACAGAGGACAGTTATGGAAGCAGTGACAGCAATACTTGGAGGCGGGTTACGTATTGGTGTCCTTCTTCAGGGAAAGAAAGTCAGAGATGACAACATAACTCTGCAGCAGACTGGAATTTCTCACGACAATGAGCTTGATTCTTTGGGATTTACTTTGGAGCCTAATCCTTCACAAAGTTCTACACCTTTGTGCACTGGAGATTCTCCTCATTTCCTTTCTGGTGACGCACCTCAGCCCCTTATAAGGTAATGCACGTGTTAAGTCTTGTTTATAGTTGTGTAAGTCGAGATTTTGTTGATTTGATAGTCAATACTTTTCTTCTAGTATTCCTGTATCATAGAGATGCTTCCAGACTATGATCAGATATTCCAGTTTGATTATGGAACTTACATAATATAATTGCTCTTTTACTAGGTATTCTCCCAATCCATCCATTGTTGATCAGGGCACTTCCAACGTTTCTCAGGAGCCTCATGCCGCCAATTTAGGGAACTTAGTTGAAAGTGATCATGATTCAGCACCTTCTCCAACTGACATGTCAGTAGACAAAAGTACAGCAGATTTGAAAGCATTGGTTCATGTACCAGAAATGAGTGTAGATGCCTTAGCTGTTGTTCCACCACCCCGGAAATCCAAGCGAGCTGAGATTGCTCAGCGTCGAATCCGTCGACCATTCTCTGTTAATGAAGTAGAAGCACTTGTTCAAGCGGTTGAGAAACTTGGAACCGGAAGGTATTTAAGTGAAAAATGACTAGTAATGGTTATTATTTTCTAAGCATTGGACTTGGCTGGGTTAGTATGTTGAGTACTTTAGTTTTCACAAGTCTGGCCAGGCCTCCTGGTGGTCGGCCATCACTAGGAGACAAGACTCGCCATGGAGTAGTTTAAAATGTTGTTTCTATTTCTTGTTTTCCTGTTCAATTGACTATTAATTCTGTTGTAATCATACGCTGTGGCCATATTCTAGGGAGTTTTTCTTAATGAGCTTTGGTAATTTTCAGGTGGCGTGACGTTAAACTACGAGCGTTCGATAATGCAAAGCACAGGACATATGTGGATCTGAAGGTGAGAAGTCTATTTGCCAACTCTTTTTTTTTTTTTTTTTTTTTTTTTTTTTTTTTAATAACTAAATAATTGAGAAGTCTTTGCCAACCCTTGATTCTGATATGATTGTTTCTTTTTAAATTTTTCCTTACCAAGTTTGCTCATCCCAGTCATCGTTTCCTCCGATTCTTCCTTCCGCGGCTAGATTCCTCCTATTCCTATAAAGTAGCAGTGCATGTTACTTTTAACTACAAACACATATAAAACTCCAGATTCATAGCTGTTACTTTAATCAATCCGTTTGATTGTTTCTTACTGTTGTATCTTAACAAAAATTTAAAAAAGTCCACCTTTGGGCTGGGGTCCCATACAGCAGTACGTACTTTATTAATTTAATTCGTCCTGGCAAATAATTGCTTGTACAAGAGGCAAGTGATTAGCCTAGTCTCGATTAGCTTTATCAGTCTTTTACTTTATTTGCTTAAAATACCCACCTTCTCAAGGAATCTAATGACTTCTTATTGTACACGGCTTCTCCTGTGCTCCTTTCCAGCACATGCGCTCTTGACTAAAATACCCCCATCACGTCACAGTATTTACCATTAAAAAAATCCCCTCAACACTTGACAGTTTTGAGTTTTATGATGTGGAGTTTTGTTTTTGACGGGTGCTTTCTTGGGCGGTTTTGCAGGACAAGTGGAAAACACTTGTGCACACGGCAAGAATATCCCCTCAGCAAAGAAGGGGAGAGCCCGTCCCGCAGGAGCTTCTGGACCGAGTCCTGACCGCACACGCGTATTGGTCCCAGCAGCAAGCGAAACAACAGCTCAAGCCGCTGCCAGAGACGTGTCTTCTCTTCTAAGAGAAGAGTCAAGAGAAGAGTCTTTTCTGCAGAGAGCTGAAAAAAATGCATGCTTGAAAGATGATGTAGAAAGAAACGTAGGATTGTAGGAAAAGACGATATCTAGATTGTCTAATTAATTTCAATGTGAATTTTTTTTTTTTTTAATTTTTTTCCATGTATTTTTGTTAATGATGTAAAAAGTAATGACAAAGGGAGGGATAGAGATGTCTTTGAAGGAAATTGTGTAATATTTGGGTTGCTCTTGGTGCATGTAAATGGTTGACAATTTGACGGAATAAGAAAAGCCATTGCTAACGGAATTCATTTTACTCGTTCATTTATTATCTTTTTTGGTATGTGGGATTTTTAAGCATACCATCAATAAAGTAACTATTTTATTTGGTATTACTATTACGGGTGACAATTCGTGTAACGTGCTGTATTTTGATCGTTTCTTTTTAAATTTACAGTCAATCTAAATACGATATGTGACACGAAATTTTTTAAGAACCGTAACACGAACACGACACGATCACGTTACGGGTTGACACAACACGACATGAAAATGACCTGTGAACTCGAAATTGACACGAAAATTGTATATTTTTATTTAGTTTTTTACATATTAGAAATAACTTAAAATTTATAACACACTAAAATACAATAACATCCATTAAAATTAAGCAAATAATAGTATAAGATTTTGAGTATAACTATCATGATATCACAAGTTCATAATAAAATAAAAATATATGTAATGAAAAAATATATGTATTTTTTAGTTTTTTACGAGTTTTGTGTCGTGTTCGAGTTAGGCGGGTCTAACCTGAATTGATCTATATTTTTCGTATAATTTTAGGTCGACCCAATTCTGACCCGAACATCTTTTTTTTCAACCTTAACCCGTGAAATTCATGTCATTTTCGAGTCGTGACTTATATTACCGGCCTTAATTACTATTGGTAAATTTATCTTATGTAACTTGTAGGTTATCGCTTCGTAATCTACATATTATTTTTTATAATGTCATTAAAATTTTATGCAGTGACAAATAATGGAGTTGAAAAAAATAATGGTTAAATTTGGAACTTTCTCTGTTGGTATCTTTACTTGGGTAGATAGATCAATGAAGTTGAAGCTATTTATTGCAGAACAAAGTTGAAATGTAATGTCCTCTAGATTCTTTTTTCAATACCAAACTTTGTCGGTAGACCAGAAGAACTTTCACTTTTAACAAACTAACTGCGCAAAAGTGTAAAAATATGTGTTAAAAAGGCTTCTGTCAACATGTTGGAATTAAAAGCTAAATGGGGTTGGAAGCAGATGAAATTGGAGACTGGATTGCTTTGACATGCTTTTATGGAAGTATTACCTAACTTGGGGATTTCCGCTTTAACACAGACAAAACACAGATAGAATTGGCAACCAAAAGTAAAATGGTTATATATATATATATATATATATATATATATTAGAGGCGCGTGCCTGCATGTGTGCGCGTCAGAGGATCAGTAACTAAAAGTAACGTGGATCCATATGCATATTCCCATTTTTCCTATAAAATAAAATAGATTCTACCAGTAATATTATCTCGTATGTGTAATGTATTATATGTATCAGTCGTTTAGCTGAGCAATATTTAAATTATTATTCTTCTGCACCAATTCATATTTGTATATTCTACAAAATGCCATACATATAGTAAATCTGATACCTAAACCGTATCGCAACAGTATTGAAATAAATCGATATTTAAGACTATCAGCTCTCCTTTATTTATGTTTTTCTTTTGGTGATTTTATGTCTAGTCTTTTTAATGGTATTTCGTCTATGAAAACCGCTTCCTCATTTTCTAGTTATCTTGAAAAAGAAAGCGTAGATATATCCATCAATGTGACTTTTTTTTTAAGATAATAATGATTGGGCGGCATTTTCGGAATCATGTGCAATAAATTCAAAGGCTCGTCGGAGTCCAAGCTCTCCCGAGCTCAAACTCTCTTGAGCCGAAAGTTCAAAGGTCGCGTGATGTTATCAAGTGAAGTAAACGACGCTAATTAAAGACATTGAATGGTTGAAAGCTAATTCTCATTGATTATTTATCAGTTTTAACTCACAAAAAGGTGAAGAACCACATTGTAATTAAGAGAGAATAAACTCTCGAATTAATAGGAGAATTAAATTTCCTCAATCCTAATGTACTATAAATTCCCTCAATTTAAGAGGAAAAGACGGACACTCATTTCTGAATACAATTGCTTTGTGATTGTTTTCATGTTGTTTTTGTTATTCTTTCAGAAGTTCTTGGTGTTCGTCGAGTGTTCTTCTAATTTTCTTAGATAATTTACTTATTCAATCTAAATTATTAGTCTAAGAACGTTGGATAAGTGTTGGATGAAATTTTACTCTAACAATAATAATAATAGAAAAATTAAAATGCGAGCTCCATACAAAGTTTTTTTTTATGAACAATGCAATTTTGATTGAGATTTGGATCGCAAAAACTCCAATTTGGATAATCTTAAAGCATCAGAATTTGGAAGTATAAATTATCAACTAGATTCTATCTTTTTTTTTTTTTCCATTTGCCAACTGTATAATAACAAAATAAACGAAGAAACACAGTGGCAGTTCCAGGTGAAGACCTGTTTGATGGATTCTTAAGCACATAAAAAATAAAAGAAGAATATGCCTTTCAATTTGGAGTTTGAATTATTGAGCAAATGGATCAAGGGCCATTCCAACGAGTCATTTCTAACAAACAATGTTCATTTTACGTCCATCCTTATCACTTTCATACTTTCATTTTCATTATCAATAAATAGAGATAAAAAGAAAATGCAAAACGTCAAAACATGGATAATAAATGGAAAGTATTCGAGGATTTTTGTGGCTACTAATAGCTACAACGTTTCTTTCCTCACTTTTGAGGGATAATAAAGGATAGGGATCATCCCTAGTACTGAAGGCCAGGAAAATCAGAGGATTTAATCCTTTTTTTTTTTTTTTTTTTTTTTTGGGAAAAAAGATTGGTTATGTTGTTAGTGGTGGAGATTTTAAAGGCTTTCTTTTTAATTTATTGGTTTTGGGGATACTGCGCTTGTATTCCTAATTCCCCTTTTTTTTTCCACCTAAAAAATGTTTTATATAAAATTAATAATTGTGGTCGAAAGTTTTTCAAATTATTAACTTTCAAACCAACCCCTTTTGCTAAAGGGATAATAAACCAATGTCAAATCCATACTGCTACCACATTCCTATATGAATATTATTCAGATAGTATTTAGAGTTTCATTAATAGTCAAAGGTTTGTTTGATTATTAAAAACTTGTTCTAAGCAATGTCTTTTCAGCTTAAATCATAAGCACACAATAACATATTCTCACTTCTCATCATAAGGGTTACTAGTAGTCCCCAAAAATATACTCTTGTCTGCTTTTGGCTCATGACATTTACTTTATGGTGTTTTATTTGAATTAATTGCAAGATTGATCTTTCCGTTATTTAGATGAAAATTCATACATGACATTCACATGACTAGTTACGAAGGTTATTTTAATGAAATCAAGATTTACAGTCAAATTTTTTTTTTTTTTGTCTCGGTCGTTTCTCTAATTAAATTTTAACACTTTGTAAAATTGTTTTAGTATTTTAAAAATTTTCAAAGAAGCCAAGAGGGGATGGAAGGCAAGAGCGGTGCAAGGCGAGGCATTGGTGGGAAGGGGATTTTTGGTCTCGATCAATGGGTGGGGTTCTGGTAATCATTTTTTTCCCCCCATTTTTATCTTTTTTGGAACTTTCGTGTGCTATTCTCGTGTTGGTTTTCATATGAAAATAAGCAATTTATTAATGGAAGAGGTAGAAGTGTGTATTTACTATTTCATAAAACGCCAGAATAGTTATACTATAAAAGTCGAGAACTCATAAAATGATAAAAATAAAATCTTGCTATCGGTGAAAATAATTCTTAGTGAAAATTGCTAAACTTGTTGTATGAATATGAATTTTTAACTTTTTACTTGTGATTAATACTTTTTTTAATGGGAAAATTTTATTTAATAATTAAGTCAATACAGACTTTAAAATAGTCATAAATGACCACTAAATACTAATATACTATTTAACTAAAAAAATATTTTATTAAAATTAAGAGGTAAAAATCGAGATTCATCCTATATATTTCCTTTTTCTATCATAGTAATGAAATTCTTGGGCTTTAAGGATGGGCCCCTTTTGACCTTGCTTAGCAAGAGGAAGGTGTAGAGTAGAGCAGGCATGTAGCTGTCTGGCCCGCCTACAAAAGGATGGCCCAGATCAAGGCCCTTTGCCCAGCCCATTATGTACTTCACATAAGACTTCTGCGTCTTCGTGACTTTAAGAGGGATAGATTTATCCCCTATTTAGTTTATTGATTTGAGTTTTTAATTTGAGTTAAAATGTGATTTTATGTTAGAGATTTTTATTATAGTAAAAAATTTAAATGTGACTGTTTTTTAGAGCTTTGTATTACAGTAAAACTCAAATTCTAAACTCAAATTGGTGAAATAAACGGACGTTAACCTAGACCAGAGTTATCTGAGGCAAAGTGCTGACCATGTTTTGGTCATGCTCGACCAATGGGTAGTACAACCATGGACTCATAGCACTAGCAGTGGGGCTAAAAATTGGCCCATCCTTCAAGTGATTTAGATTTGATTAGATCATGTCGTTTTCTTTTGAAAAATTAGGAGGAATGCCAAAAAAAAAAAAAAAAAAAAAAAGGACTTTGAATTTATGCCGTGAATTTTAGAATTTTTTATTTATCTACACAATAAACTAGTTAAGTCAAAGATCAACAAAACGTTTGATAAATCGGAACCACCAAAAAAATGTGACATAAATTTGAAAATATATAAACGTTGTGGCATGCTATGTAATGTTTTGTAAGTGATTGAGATTTAGTAAAGACTAAGCGATGAATGGATTAGGTTATTATTGGTCTGCCTACCAATTTTTAAAGACCATATCTTTTTTATTTAGCCAAAGAGAAATTTCTTTTTCCAAAACAATATATCAAATTATGTAAAATCTTTTACAAGTGAATACTGGTTTTGATGCGTGATAGTAACAAATTCCTTTCTTTCTTCTTTTTTTTTTTCCCCCCCCTGAAGGAAATAGTAACAAATTTCTTAACATTGAAGCTACAACCATTCCTCAATGGTTCCATTTATTCTTTTACTAATCAGATTTCAAACAACCAATCGGTATATAATTTTCTCCCTGAATGGTGAATAAACAAGTAGAAACCTTATACAGTGTAAAAAGCAACGTTTTTTTTTTTTTTTTTTTAAATTTATTTATTTATAGACCATTGCTGGTTTCATATTAAGGTCTTCAACAACATAATAGTTTTGACTGAATAAGATTTATATCCCTTTCCTTGAGGAAAAAAAAAAAAAGCATGTATTTTAATCATTTTGGGCAGCTCCTGGGGTCTCTTATCTCTTTACAAAAGGGTTCAATTGTTCAAGACTTTTCCACGAAAAAAAAAAAAGATAATTCCCTATTAAAACATCAAGCCGCCTCGTGCAAAATTTGGAGCTAAGAGGATCAAACAAATGACATTACATCATTCATATACATAGAAAAAAACAAGAAAGAGCTACAAACGTTGACAAAATGTCATGTTGATAGCAGCTCTTTAATTCAAATGCTCGAGGAGGGCAAATATCAGAGACGTTAGTAGTGCCTTGTGAATTCTTATTATGAAGTTATCTGGATACTTTTTTTTTTTTTAAAGTCCTTTGAATATAATTAGAAACATAAGAATGAGGAAAAGGAAAGAAAGCACTAAATGTTGACAAGGTCCTAGATATTTTTTTTATCTCCCACTCACGATGATGTTCAATGTATGGCGGTATGTGGGACATGATGTCAAAGTGCTGTCTTTATTATTATTATTATTATTATTACTATTATTATTTTAGAGTGAATTTACGGTGGACGGAGCTATTTTATTTTGATGGTAGGAATTATATATTTTTTAATCGTAGAATCATCGTGATTGTAAATTTTTTAATGCGGACATGCATAGATTTGAGCATTAAAAAACTAATCTAACGATTAAAATTAACAGTTTCTATTGATGGTGCAAAATAATCTTATCTATCATATTATTATTATTATTATTATTATTATTATTATTATTATTATTATTTTCTTTTTTACGAAGGTGTTCTAGGAGCATTATGTGTTTGTGATAGATCATTCATCATAGATTGCTTTTGCATAGTCAAAGTAAATGAGAGTTGTGTGAAAGAGACAAAATAACAATTAAAAAAACTTAGTGAGATCAAATTAGGACAGGTTTGAGAGTCATCATGGTGTTTCATTGTATTTACCATTTTCTTGTCAACAAATTAAGGGATAAAGTTGGTGGGGCGCAGTGGGGTTGAATTGCAAAGCAGGCAAATCCTGTTTTATATTATCATTGGTTTTCTTGTTTATCAAGTCTCCATTCAGTTTGGTTTTATTCAATTATTTATTAGCTTATTTTACGGTGCATCTTAAAATTGTGACTTATTGGTAGAGTAAGTGTTTTACTGTTAGATTAATTTTTTAACAGCCAGATCTACAATAAAAACAGTTTTATATAACGCGTTGTAAATTTTTAATATGAAGCTACACAAATCTTACTATAAAAAATTTAATTCAACAGTCAAAACACTTAATCCACTGATAAGTCACAAATAGAAGATGCACCATAAAGTTCTCTTGTTTATTTAGTTTGTCTACCAACGACCAATATAAATTAAGCATTATTACATGGTTTACCTTATTTATTTAGTTTGTCTACCAACGACCAATATAAATTAAGCATTATTACACGGTCGTTTATAGTTTGGACCATATCAGTAGTGGTTGTGATATTTGGAATTGAAGGCTGAAAAGAACAAAAAAACAATAATGCAAGCAATCGAGTTGTTCAGTGGCAGGTGGAATAAATAATAATGAGAAGTTGAAAATCTTTTATTTTCTTGTATTTTTTTTGTCTTAACCAATAACCATTGAGCCCAGATACAGAAGCATTTTGTTTTCTTCTGCAATTTAATATATGCTTAAATTGGTTTTGATTCCTTCCACATGTTGACCGTTTGAACAGCAAATCCTGATCAAGATACTACACACATCTTTGATTCCCATCAAAGAAGCTTGAATGAGCAAATTATTAACTCAAAATCTACCATTTATGTTTGGACTAACCTAAAATCAATTCTTATAAAAGGAAAATACATGAATAGAGGAGACTAAAGATTTGATTGAACTAAAAATAAATACTTGTTCAGCAAGCATACGGAATCTTTGAAATAATCAAACGATGTGCTAACAGTTAAAAAGTTGAAATTTATATCAGCGTAATGCGTTTTCTTAATGAGGTTTTTTAGTTTCCAACGTCATTAGTGTCCTTACGTCAATACCTAACACCTATAAAAAGAATCAATTGATCCCGCTATTACAATAATAAAGAGTTTAAATCTATTCTTCACTCGTTCAAACTCAAATTTAACCGATCCGAACACTGAATTGAAAAAAGACTTTGAGTAGGTGGTCTTTGCTACCATACCATCATCACCTGTGGTAATTTGTTTCACCATTTGTATTGATGTAATTAAGTCTAACTTTTTACTCATAAAATTGAATATATTTTTTTGTTTAATAAGAAAATAAGAAATAAAGCTCTACCAAAGACTCCAAATGTCAACAAACTAAACAACATAAAGAAAAATTCTTTAGCACTTCGCCCCAACTGCAACGAAAAACTTGTAATTCAATAACAAACACTTTATTATTATTTTTTCCCCTTTGAGATTTGAATTTCTTAAGAAACTTGAGATAAAAAAAAAAAAGAAATTATTAAGAACTTACATAAATTGTATCAACTTGCAATTTTGAAAGTTTCAGCAAAAAAAATAAAAATAAAAATAAAAAACAAAGAATGTGACACGTGTCTTATCATGAGTGGGTGATCATGCATGATCTCCATGTTACATCCCATTACTCCGACTGCCAAAAAAAAAAAAAAAAAAAAAACCAGCCTCACAGTAGGAACTAGGTACTCCGTACTCCAATTTTGAGCTTTAATTGGAACAAACAATGGCAGCATCACTACTTTGATTGGAATATCTCCTTCTTCTCCTGTTCTTCATCGCAGACCGTACCGGTAGCGTCTCTGTTCGTTTCTTTTCAGTCGAAACCTTTTTTTTTGTTTTTTTGTTCTTCCTAGGGTTTCTGATTTAGCCGTTGTGAATCTTTCAAATTGACGATTGTTATGGATGAAAATGCTTGTCAAGTTTCGAATTTAGGTCTCGATCCCAATTTAGGCGGGTATTTGAACACTGTAAACGGAGTGATGAAACTCAGTGACTCTTCTATGGACCCTAGTTTTGCCTCGTGCTTGAGCTCCAATGGAGATTCTCCTTTTGATGATGATGATTTCTCCGACACCGTGCTTAAGTACATAAACCAAATGCTTATGGAGGAGGATATGGAGGCAAAGCCATGTATGTTCCATGACCCTTTGGCTCTTCAAGCCGCTGAGAAATCCCTTTATGAAGCTCTCGGCGAAAAGTACTCGCCTTCCCCAAATCAACCCCCTTTTTGTTGTGCTGAGAGCCCGGATGATTCCGTTGGAAATATCAGCTCTAGTTCTTGTTCCAGTACTGGCGTTTCTTTGAATTCCGTTTCGATGTTTGTTGATCCGGCGGAATTCAAGCCCCCTGCGTTGCCGAACCCCGTTCCTGCTGGTTTTGATTTCCAGTCGAGTTCGTTATCATCGTCAAACTTTCCGTACAATTCTATAAGTGAGCTTTTGGTTCCGAATTCATCAGGTGAGAATGAATTGATGTTGCAGTTCAAGAGAGGTTTGGAGGAGGGTAATAAGTTCCTTCCTAAGGGAAATCAACTTGTTACTAATCTGGATAACTTTGACTTGTCTCCGGAGTCGAAGGAAAAAAAGGTTTCAGATGTATTAGTCAAGGTGGAGAAGGATGAGAGAGATGATTCTCCTAGCGGGTGGAGAGGGAGGAAGAATCACGAGAGGGAAGAAACGGATTTGGAAGATGGTAGGAGTAACAAGCAATTGGCTGTTTATACGGAGGACGATGAGATATCAGAGTTGTTTGATAAGGTGCTGCTTTATGGTGGGGGAAAAGAGGAAACTCCTGGCTCTACATGTGATGGAGCCTATCAGGATAATGAAGCTAACGAGTCTACTCAGCAGGGTGGGCGATCCAACGGAACTAGTAGCAGTAAGACTCGTTCCAGGATACAGGACAATAATAAGGAAGTGGTCGATTTAAGGACACTTCTGATCTCCTGTGCACAAGCTGTCTCTGCGAATGATGTTAGAACTGCTAACGAACTATTAAAACAGATTAGGCAGCACTCATCTCCCTTAGGTGACGGGTCTCAGAGATTGGCCCATTGCTTTGCGAATGGCTTTGAAGCGCGTTTGGCTGGCACTGGAAGCGAGATTTATGCGGTTCTAGCCTCTAAAAGAACATCTGCTGCTGAGACGCTGAAAGCTTATCAAGCTTATATCTCTGCCTGCCCGTTCAAGAAGATTGCAATTATCTTTGCAAACAACATGATTCAAAAAGCAGCTGAGAAAGCAGCAACGCTTCACATTGTGGATTTTGGTATCCTCTATGGCTTCCAATGGCCTGCTTTCATTCATTGCCTCTCAAGAAGATCTGGTGGGCCACCCAAGCTACGTGTAACGGGAATTGACCTTCCCCAGCATGGTTTTCGGCCAGAAGAAAGAGTTCAGGAGACAGGAAATCGCTTGGCAAGGTACTGTGAGCGGTTTGGAGTTCCATTTGAGTACAATGCCATAGCAAAAACGTGGGAGACTATCCAAATTGAGGACTTCAAGATTGACAGCAAGGAGGTGCTTGCTGTGAATTGTCTTCTTCGGTTTAAGAACTTGCTGGATGAGACCGTTGTAGTAAACAGTCCAAGGGATGCTGTTCTAAAGTTAATCAGGAAGTTAAAACCTGACATTTTTGTTCATGCTATTGTTAATGGATCCTACAATGCCCCATTCTTTGTTACACGTTTCCGGGAGGCACTATTTAACTTCTCCTCGTGGTTTGATGTGGCTGATGCCACTTTAGCTCACGAGGATCCGGTGAGATTGATGTTTGAGAAGGAGTTTCTTGGGCGGGAGGTTATAAATGTCGTAGCATGTGAGGGCGCAGAAAGAGTTGAGAGGCCTGAAACATACAAGCAGTGGCAGGGCCGGAGGATGAGGGCGGGGGTCAGGCCGCTTCCTTTGGACTCGGAGCTCATGAAGAAATTAAAGGCTAAGTCCGGAGTATGAGGGCGGGGTTCAGGCCGCTTCCTTTGGACTCGGAGCTCATGAAGAAATTAAAGGCTAAGGTGAAACATGGGTACGACAGCGATTTTGGGGTTGATGAAGATGGCAATTGGATGCTTCAAGGTTGGAAGGGCAGGGTCCTCCATGCATCCTCCTGTTGGGTACCTGCATAGGACATAGAAATGCCATCTTTCTGGTGACTTAATTTACAATATTGGTTAATGTGTAATCTGAATCCTCTTGTGTATATTAACATGGATTTGCCATGCACTGGTGATTTTAATTATAATATTGGTTAACGAGTACTCTGAATTCTCTTGTACATATATTAACAGAGATTTGTCATGCCCTGTTTCTGTTCTTTGTAGATGCGCCAAATAGAGAGCTTGCAAGGGCTAGTTTAGGGGGTTTCTTTATTACTTCATTTCTGGTTTCATGTTTAATGCATAGTATATGTGTATATTATTTTATTAGTATATCAACACTGAGCAGTATAAGGTGTACAAAGTTAAATGAATAGCTATGTTAGTGGGGTATTTTGTTTTTGTTTTTCTTCCTTATATATATTATATATATATATATATATTTAATAGTTCTGTTTGTCCTGATTTAATTTCCTTTTAACCTAGACGTTTCATACCCAGATGTGAATGCATTCACATGTAGCTAGTCATGCCTAAGACGCAGTCACATGTAGCAAAGTATGATGGTGGTAAACACATCACTTTGTTGCGCCATATTTTTTGTTATCAACAAATATTACGGCTTTAAAGTTTAAACTAGATATCTTCTAAATAAGGTCCATACTTTTTGGAAGTGAAATGATTTTGCTTAAAGTGGCCAAAAGAAGCAACGCTAAATCTATCTAGACTCCGCATGAAATAAACCACTATGATCTATCCTTTCTAGAAGGGATATTCCGAAGATAAAGACGTTGCTTTCATCACGTAGTTGGTTTATATGAACATGTACATGTACATGTACCTGCAAAGCAAAAAGGTTATTGAATGTGTACACGACATAATTCAAGTTGACCTTTGAGCAATTGAAAGTTAAATATTTAAAAATCGTTCATTAATCGATTTGAGTTTTCAATTTTAATTTTGTTATAATTAAAAATTTTCATAAAAAATTATATTTAATTTTTTTTTAAATCTCAACTCGAATCTGTGAACTCAACGAGACCTTATAATAATAAAATTCAATATTTTGGGCATTTATGATGTTTTATGGGTACTTCTCTTGGATTCCGGCATTCAGCATGGCATGCAGAAAAGTAGACCTGAGCATACCCAAATATTTAAAATGTTGAAATTGGAAAAATAGGGAAAAAAAAAGATGAAGAAAACAAGATAATGTTGATGCTTGCTCATCAAGAATTTATTTGCACAGGAGAATGAAAGAGAGAGAGAGAGAGAGAGAGAGAGAGGGGAGAATTTATTTGCACAGGAGAATGAATGAGAGAGAGAGAGAGAGAGAGAGAGAGGGGCTGGATAGCCAAGTAATCTTTTCAGCTAGTTTGACCAGAGAGAGAGGGGCTTGATAGCCAAGCCAAGTAATCTTTTCAGCTAGTTTGACCAGTCAATCAATCTGATTATGATAAGAGAGAGAGAGAGGGGCTGGATAGCCAAGTAATCTTTTCAGCTAGTTTGACCAGTCAATCAATCTGATTATGATAGATAAAAAAACGCTGACTAGTACGACAACAGGCGTATTTTCTCCAATCTCTGCTTAATCAGCGCTTGCCACTCGTGCGCCAAATGGTGGGGCCAAAAGACTTCCCTCTCTGGTCCTGTTCTGTTTCTGGCAAAGCTAATTGAGGGCCGATAACATTTGTACATCACCGTGACATTATTGACACCAAATCTCCCTAAATTCATGCACAACTTCTGTAACAGGATCATTCTAAATTTTCAGACAGACAATGATAAAAGTTCTCGTCTTGTGAAGTTAAAATTTTTTAACGATTAAAACCTGTTTATTTTATCAATTTAAATTTAAAATTTAAGTTTTATTATAGTAATTTTTTTTTAAAAAAATAATTATATTTAATTTTTTTATTATATTAAAAAAATTTTATATAAATTTATATCTTAATTTAAATTAAAAATTTAAATTAGTAAATTAAGAATTACGAAAAATGAAAAAAAGTGCAGATTAGCACACACTACAGTATAGTTTAATATAGAGACTGGCTGCAGTTTTATATCATTCTGTGACGGTCAGTCAGACACAAAGTCAACTTCGTCTTAGACCATCATCTTTCGAAGAAGGTTCGCTTCCTCATACTTCTGCTTATTAAATCTTCTCTCTCTCTATAGATATATGTGTGTGTGTACTCATACATGTAAGAGAGCCTTTTCCGTTAGAACCTTTGCATCTGCGACAGAGCCTCCTCTGTTTCTCTTCTATGCTGCAACAATTTTGGACTTAGTTCGTTTGTTTTCTTCTGGGACAAAACCACGGCTTTCTGAAGTTCTTCAACTCCAATTTCTTTTTCCTATCAACCCTTTTTTCCATTTCTTATTTTCAGCTCTATTATCATCTCTTTTGTTTGGATTGATAGTTATAAGTTTCATTTTTTTTTATTTTCTGCTTTATCTTCTGTGATGGTCTTTGATCTTATCCGTTAGATTCTTCGGTTATTTGTGGTCTTAAACTGGTTCAGAGTTTTTCCCAGATATAGGTTCTGATTAAAGTAGCGATCTTCGTTTTTAAAATTTTGATTTGTTGGGGTTTTGACTTTCTTCTCATTGTTTTAAGGGCATACAATATATTAGATGATTATGGATCCAAGTTTCACCGATTTCCCAAACGAATTCAAAACCCTCTTATCAAATTCAAATCAGTTCCTAAATCGACTCTTCCCAGATCTTGGCTTCACCATGGACAATAATCACCTTTTCCTTTCACCTGTTCCTGAACCCAGAAACTTGATCCTTTCCGAGGGAGAATCCCCTGTCCCATTTTCCACCATAGGCCCAGATGGAGCCTCAGAGGACACTGAGTTCTCAGAAACTGTTCTCAAGTACATAAGCCAGATCCTTATGGAAGAGAAGATAGAACAAAAGCCCAGCATGTTTTATGACCCATTGGATCTCCAAATCACTGAGAAATCCTTCTATGATGCTCTTGGTGAGAGATATCCTTATTCACCCAACTACAACAATGGTGTGGATCCAAGAGTTGAGACTCCTGATAATAATTTCTCAGGAAGTTCTAGTGATTATGGTGGAAGTAGTACTAGTCCTAGTACGAGTACAAGTAATAGTGCTAGTAGTCCTCATTTGCTTAGTGATGTAGGAGACTCTAAACCACCCTCTTTATTGCAGTCCTCTCTTCCTGGAGACCCCAATTCCCAGCTAAATTCGCTTTCTGGTTCGCAGTTCTCCGCCCCTATTTCGGTAAACGAGCTTCTGGCGCAGAACATATTTGGGGACAGCGATTCGATCTTGCAGTTTCAGAAAGGGTTAGAGGAGGCCAGTAGGTTCCTTCCCAAAAGTAATCAGCTTTTCATTGATCTGGAGAGCAGGGAATATTCTTCCGAGTTGAAGGGACTGGGAGAGCCTGAAAAGTTGGTGGCTGTAAAAGGTGAGAGGGATAGCTCGCCGAATGGATCGAGGGGAAGGAAGAACCATGAGCGGGAAGATGTGGATTCGGAAGAAGAGAGGAGTAACAAGCAGTCTGCAGTTTACACGGATGAGAGTGAATTATCGGAGACGTTTGATAAAGTGTTGCTTTTTTATCATGATCATGGATGCAAGGGTGTCGTGGGTGAATGCGGGCAAAATGTAGGAAGCGAGGCCTTGCAGCCAGATGAACAGCCGCAGGGAGGTAGTGGTAACGGTGGAAAGGCCCGTGGCAAGAAGAAGGGCAAGAAGAAGGAGACCGTGGATTTGAGGACTCTACTGATTCTATGTGCACAAGCTGTGTCAGGCAATGATAGAAGGACTTCTGGCGAGCTTCTAAATCAGATTAGGCAGCATTCTTCTCCTCTTGGCGATGGGTGTCAAAGGTTGGCGCATTGCTTTGCTAATGCCCTCGAGGCACGTCTGGCGGGCACTGGAACTGGCGCACAGATGTATTATAGTACCCTACTTTCCAAGACCAGTGCTTCTGATATTCTGAAAGCATACCAACTTAGTCTAAAATGCAGCCCTTTTAAGAAGATGGCCATGCTCTTTGCAAACAAGATGATTTACAAGGCAGCTGAGAAAGCAACAAGCCTTCACATTGTCGATTTCGGGATCTTGTATGGCTTTCAGTGGCCAATCCTCATCAAGCATCTTGCAGGCAGACCTGGTGGACCTCCCAAGCTGCGTGTTACTGGGATAGAGTTTCCCCAAAAGGGATTCCGTCCAGCAGAGAGAATTGAAGAGACAGGACGTCGCTTGGCAAATTATTGTGCTCGCTTTGGAGTCCCTTTTAAATACAATGCCATAGCATCACCAAATTGGGAAACTGTCCGAATTGAGGACATCAAGATTGATGACGACGAGGTAGTTGCAGTGAACGATTTGATGCGGTTCAAGAACCTACTTGATGAAACTGTTGAAGTGAATTGTCCGAGGAATGCTGTTCTAAACCTAATCAGGAAGATGAATCCAGCCATTTTTGTTCAGTCTATTGTTAATGGATCCTACAACGCACCCTTTTTTGTCACACGTTTCCGCGAGGCTCTTTTCCACTTCTCCGCCTCCTTTGACGTGTTAGACACCAACGTAGGCCGCAACAACGAAGAGAGGTTGATGTTTGAGAGAGAATTCTATGGGCGGGAGGCTATGAACGTGATAGCATGTGAGGGACCGGACAGAGTCGAGAGGCCTGAGACATACAAGCAGTGGCAGGTTCGGAATATGAGGGCCGGTTTCCGGTCACTGCCTTTGAACCAAGAGCTTATGGACATGTTTAGAGGCAAGCTGAAGGCATGGTACCACAAGGATTTTGTAATTGATGAAGACAACAATTGGATGCTTCAGGGATGGAAAGGGAGAATTCTTTATGCCTCCTCATGTTGGGTGCCAGCATAGGGATTTTTCTGAGGTCACTTGTTCAAACTCATTAGTTGAATATTCAATAAACTAGCTAATAATGAGGTACTATTTCCAATCTTACTGCTGATGTACTGTATCAGTCTGTTTTATAGTAATGCAGTAGTATGTATATGCTATGTCGGATCCTTGTTGGAAGCTAAATGATGTAGAATTTCATGTTTTCCTATCATAAAGTAAAACAGGCACACACACCTTTAGTACAAGCTGTTTATGGATGCAATTGCAGTATGTTGAACTATCATCATGAAGCTACTCAAATGAGGAGGGAAAACAAACTGGAAATCCACAATGTGATGAAGAGCCAATTCGATGCGCTAACAATGCGTACTTTGCTTTTTTTTTTTTTTGGCTATTTGCAATCAGTTTTTATTTTTCCTCTTCCAGGTTGTTTTCGCCATCAGTTTGATGATAAGAGGGGCTTTGCCGTACTCCCTGTACATTTTAGCATGAACTCATATTTGCCTTACTATCTGTATTGAAAGAATTGGAGTTATTCGAGCTTTACTACTTTCTAGTTTATCAATAATTCAACCGCGTTAGTTTAGTTTTCTTTATGCATTTGTAAAAGCTCATAAAAAATCTCAAAAATTTAACCGACTGCCTATAATTGGGACCAGAAGCTCATACTTGATCAATAAGAATATTTATACAACTGTTGGATGGTATTTATGGTATTGAAGGTTTGAAGCGAAAAGCTCATAGTAAATCTGTAAGAGCACTTGTACAACTGCCTAAAATTGGACCAGAAAATTTGAGTAAGCAATTTTCTCTTTTAGGTCACAAGAAAGTTTGTGTTGAAACTGGAATTTCCATCCTATTAAACAACTGTTGGGAATCCTCACCTTGATTAAATTTGGTGGTTTTGTCCACCTATTTGGAATATAACATAATGCAATATTCAAGAGAAGGAACAAAGATAATTAGAAACTAATGGTTCAACTGCCAACATCCGTTGTTCTAATAAGTTTTGTTTCAATATAAAGTGCAGGTTCTTTTTTATTATTATTATTATTATTTTTTTATACGATGGGAGAGCTATGACTTCCGGTATATATATATACATATATTAAGAAGAAATAAAAGTATCAGAATTCAAATCGTTGATTACATATGCACTCAACCACTTGAACTAGTTTTAAGTGGTTGATACTTTAACTAGTAAAAAAAGAAAGAAAGAAAGAGACGATTCATACAAATTTGATTTGAGGGTTCAAATTACCTTGATTTTTGTGAACGGTGTTTTTTCTTATAAAAAATTTAAATTTTAAAAGTTTTACTATAATTTTTTCTTTTATAAAATTTAAATTTAAATTTAAATCATTTAGTTTGAAACCTCAAACTAAATAAACAGGAAGCGGCTGACACAGAGCGCAGGTTGGTAAACAGTTAAGAGCTGCATTATTTATCTTCAAGATTACAGCATCTTTTTCACCAAGTTAACAATGAGGCTGTCACTGTACACAAATTCCTTGATTGGTCAAACTTGTTTATTTGCAAAAGAGTGCAAATGAACATTTCCAAAATTTAAAGACAAGGCCCTTGGATTTGGGGGGTCCAATTGACTTCTGAATCACAGAGACATGTGGTTCTTTTCACTTTTATTTATTTATTTTTTGTCGCCACTTTGATCAGTATTCCTGTGTAATGTTGGACCATTTGAGAGTTGATTGAAACTTCATTATACGATCAAGTGGTTCCTCTTTTTGTTTAATGTTATATGTTATATATGTTGCAGCAGCCGCCTCAGTTTTGAAATCAAATAAACAGACTTTGATGACTAATATCAGTCTCTGAGAGAAGTTCTTGTCTTTTCCCTTTAATTTTCTTTTTCTTTTTTGTGGCCTTTTGTTCTATACAATAATACATATTATCCAGTCAAATGAAAAAAAAAAAAAAGAAAAAGAAATAATTATACGATCAAGTGGTTCCTCTTTTTGTTTAATGTTATTATATGTTATATATGTTGCAGCAGCCGCCTCAGTTTTGAAATCAAATAAACAGACTTCGATGACTAATATCAGTCTCTGAGAGAAGTTCTTGTCTTTTCCCTTTAATTTTCTAATTCCTTTTTGTGGCCTTTTGTCCTATACAATAATACATATTATCCAGTCAAATGAAAAAAAAAAAAAAAAAAAAAAAAAAAAAAAAAAAGGAAGTCTCAGGTTCAAAGTTAAAAACAAACAAAACAAAGGTAGTCTCAGGTTCAAAGTTTGCTTTTGATATACAAGCACATTGCTTGTTAATTGTAATAATAATTGACTACAGTACTGCAGTTATACATCTACGTGCATGCATTACTTGAGGTATGTTATCTCAGCAACTATCTAGCCCCCTATACCTATAGTATACATGTACATAACATGATACATAGATAATACAGATATGTAACTGTATAAGTGTGTGTGTGTGTGTGTGTGTGTGTGTGTGTGTGTGTATATATATATATATATATATTTATAATTGAAAATAAAGAAGGATAGAAGAAGAAAAGGAAGAACAAAAGGATTTTACGTCTATAGATCAGACCATTTTTTTTTTCCATTCATTTTCACTCTAATAATTTTACAATGAGTTTATTCATGAGTATAAATAGATGTGGTTCCTTAAATACACAAATCAATACAATTAGCACCATATTAAGATCATTTTCAATGTAAATATTAATGTCAATTGTATATTTAACATAAAAAATTATGATATGCTATGTTATTTTCATTTTTATTCTAATACATAATGCTATTTAAAATGTTAAATCTATCTTTTCCCACAATCATTAAGCTTTGAAAGTTATAAAAGTAAATTTTTATTTTTAAAATAATTAAAAAATGTAAAAGTTGCAAGGATTATATAAAAAAGTAAACATCTCATCAAATTTTTCATATGCTATATTTGATGAGAAATTTACCACAAAGTATAACATATGAGAAATTTAGCACAATAAATAACATTGCATTAAAAAGTAATTTTTACACTCAAATATTAAATTTATAATTGACACATTAATTATAACATTACATTAAAGATACACTAATTCTACAATCATGTTCATAATCAATTGCTTTAATATTTTAACATATATATGTCGCATATATCTGGTTGGAAACAAATATTGGAGGAACTGATAGCAAAATTGAGAGAAAAATCTTGGTTCTCAACGGAGAAGGCTTGTGGTGAAACCGGACTTCCAATATCAAGTTTTGAGTGCGTTTTGAACTCGTTCTAAAATGATTTTATTTTTTGTATGAAAATAGAAATGAAAATATTTTCAATCTCAAACATAAATTATTTTTAAAAATGTGTTTGGTAGTTTTATCAAGAGATTATTTTCAGTATAAAAAAAATCCATTAACGTCTCTATCTCTCTCTGTGCTCGAGAGAGGAGAAAACGGAAACAAAAAATAAAAAACGATTAAAAGTTATTTTTCATTTCTTTTCTATTTTACACTAAACTAAAAAATTGTTTTTATTTCTATTTTTTGTCTTTAATTGTGTCAAACGCCGTTTTTCTCTTTTTTTTTTTTTTTTAAAAAAACGTGAAAAATAAAAACAAAACCAACTCTAAACATGGCTAAAATTTCGAATTATCATTACAGGAGAAACCGTTGGCGACTGGTGCACGAAGTTTTTTGTTGGTAAATTTGATTGTTTGTGAAAATTTCAAATGAAGGTCCCAAAAGTGGAAACACGAGTAGGTGCTTGGAATATTTGGCGGTAGTTGTAGACTTTTCTGAAATAATAGTGAAAGGATCAGGCCGAAAGAATGCTCGCCGCCTCAGCCACTTGGTTAATGGTAAGTAACTGTATTTTTAGATAACTATATTGTCAAAATGCAACATTCATATCACTTGTCAAATTTAGCAGAAATCTACCACAAGATATATAGCAAACACAATAACAGAACTGAGAAAGGTTCTCTCCTTTCTTACGTTATATTCCTTTCTTTATTTCTTTCTCTCTGGTTTTTTTTTTTTCCTCTAACCAAAAATAGCCCAAGTTTCATTTAATCAGTAAGACTAGGCTTCACATACACCCAAAAAATGAGATGTGTTATTGGCTTAGAGCATCTCCAAGGTGATACCTAATTATTATGCCAATGTCACATTTTTAGCATTTAAGTGAAGAAATGTAAATTTGCCACGAGATATATAGGGCGCGTTTAAAACTCATTTCAAAATGATTTTATTTTTTGTATGAAAATGAAAATGAAAACGTTTTCAATCTCAAACATAAATCATTTTTAAAAATGCGTTTGGTAATTTTATTAAAAGATTGTTTTCAGTATAAAAAACTCATTAATGTCTCTCTCTCTTTCTCTCTGCTCGAGAGAAGAGAAAACGAAAATAAAAAATGAAAAACGACTAAAAGTCATTTTTCATTTCTCTCTCATTTTACACTAAACCAAAAAATCGTTTTCATTTCCGTTTTTTGTTTTTATTGCGTCAAACGCTGTTTTGAAAACGTTTTCATTTTTTTTCTCAAAAAACGTGAAAAGCAAAGACGAGATCAATTCTAAACACGTCCATAGTATTTGTCAAATTTAACGTTTTGATTTGAAAAGTGCTTCATTCAAACAACTGAAATGGTGGCCACACCAGAGACCGCCTCCCGGATGGAAATAAACCCAGAGCTTGATGACTAACAAGCCGAAGGATAAAAATTATGAGCACTTTAATTCCTAGATTTAGGAATCCACTTGAAAGAAATAGGACTAAACTGAGAAGTAAAATTTAAAATACTGTCAACAATAGAGAGACACCACCAATCAGGGCAATCAATTACTAGGTTCAAAGAGTCTATTCCTAGCTTAGAGTCATTGAACACAGCGATGTCCCTCCACCACTTCTGCCGAATTTAGCGTTTGATTCTTATTGTTGATATATTAGCTTTTTTATTTAATCAATAAAAAAATTGTTCTTTTAAAATTATTTTAATGTTATAAATTTATTTTTATAAGTTTCAAAACTTAATAATCATGATAAAAAGTAGATGTCATATTTGAAATAATATTATTAGAACGCAAAATAAAATAGCACATGAGTATGTTGTTTGTCGCTTTTTAGCCACAAATATATCCTTCGAGTTAGCATTTGTGAGATGGTGTTCTACCAATAATATACGCCATATCCTTTTTTCATTTTTTTTTTTTTCAATGGAGTCTCTTTTGTTTGATAGAACATTTAACCATACAATATGCATGCTCAATAAGAGTGATATATAATCTCAGCAAACATTCTAGATATAAGTCGGCCATAAATGATCTGCTATTTCTGTCATGATCAATAATTAATAAATTAATTGACTTACAGAATCATGCAGCAGATCGATCGATTGAGACCACACTTATGTTTGGAGCTCTATAATATTTGATGCGACAGTTGGTTGTGTTTGTGATTCAACTTTTTTTTTCCCACCTTTGTCTTTGTCAGTGTAATCTGATTAATTTTCTAGTCATGACTTTTAAAATAT